GCCCTTGGAGTTGGGGCTTTGTGGGCTCTCACCTTAACCTAGAACTATTTAGAGGAGATGGAGAATGGCTAGTGGAGAGCCCTCTGGTTGTCAGGCACTATCACCACAGGCATGAACGACGTGTGCCCCTGGAGGCTACAGGGACACAGTGAGCTCCCACAGGTGGCAGCGGCGGTGTTGGTAGCAAGGACATGGCAGCAGGGAGCTCCCGCAGGCAGCTGCGGCGGTGTTGGCGGCGGGGCTGGTGTGGTGAGTACCTACAGGTCATCAGTGACCACCCGCAGATGCCACTGGCAGCATCAGTGGTGGCCAGCAGCGATCAGGGACTGCCCGCAGACGCCACCGGCGGTGCTGTTGGCAAGGGGGGGGGGGGGGGGGGGGGGGGGGGGGGAGGGGAAGGGAGCGGGATGAGCATCGGCAGCACTTTTCGCATGGGGTTCACTGCCAATCTCAGGGGGTGCACATGCAGCCATGTGCACCCCCTACGTGTCGTCAGTGACCATGGGGAAAATCAGAGGCATTGGTAGGAAAGGCCTGAGGCCTGGGAAGTCCTCAGATCAGGTGCTGTCTACTCCTGCTGTCTACATTTAAGATTCTCCTGCCAAGAGAGCCCTCACCTCACAAACCAGAGGGCTGGGGATGTTGGGGGTGGGAGGGGAGGGGAAGACGAAGGGGAATATTGTAGTCTGATGCCAAGAAGAATAGGGGTTTCCCTATTAGCAGAGGAGAAGATACTGTACTTCCCCACACTGCCCCTTTTCTTAACCCCTTGCTAGAATAATGAGCAGTAGCCAGAGTGGACATGCCTGCCTAAGAATCAAAGAAATCCCAATTACCATCCACCCTGCTCATCAGAGAGGACAAGTCAGACAGACACCAGCTATCCCACCTGCTACTGCTGTGAGACAGGCACAGGAGTTGTACAGGGCCACCTCTGCAGACGTGCACAGCTGGAAGCCTGACTGCTACAAGGACTGTTTGGAAAACTTTGTGGGTTTGGGTAGTAGTGGGAGTTGGGTTTTTTGTTTTCATAGTTCATAGTTTCATAGTTGTGAGGGGCTGGAAGGGACCTTACAGATCACTGGGTCTAGCCCCCCCTGCATCTTTTGTTTTGGGGTTTGTTTGTTTTGGGGGGGGTAGTGGCACATGGGAACAGGACAGTGAGATTTCTGCTTCCTACATTGTTTCTACTCTCCCATTCTGGGCCCTATCAGGAATAGGATTGACCCATGTTTCTGTGATACTCTCTGTCCCAGCATTCTATAAGATTTCATTAGGGATACAGTTTTTGGCCTTTCTAGGTGTGTACTAATATTCAGGAGGTGTGTCTTCCTGAGTCTGCAAGCAGATGGAAGTTATAAGGAGGGAGAGAAGAACAACTCTTGTTCATTTCAGTAAGAGTTTGGACTCTGAGACCTCCTGAAGATGTACATGGCAATGTAGGTAATAGCTGTTAACTATTTTAGCTGAAACGTCTAGCTACTCTGTGGGGTGCTTGAGTAGAATACCATTATTCCCCCTGAAGTCTCATCATCCTGAGAACCTAGGGTGGGGGCAGTGCACATCTTTGGTGAGGGTAATGACCATGTATGTGAGCAGGGGGCTGATTGGAGGCAGGGAACATCTCTTCCAGCATCCTCTCAAATTTCTCAATGCAGCAAGAACTGGCAATGGAGCTGAATGCTTTATTGAAGCATGTTGATACTTACTGAAAGCCCAAGCAGATGGCACTGGATAAAGAGAATGGCATGGGAAAGAAGCTAACGGAACAAATGTAGTGATATGCTGCCAGCATTTCAACAAGGGACTCCTGAAAAATACTCTTCTTCACTTGATAGTGCATATGACACTCCTTGGGATAAAACACTTACTGCCAACATATACATGTGGTTCATTGATTCCATGCTTTCCCCCACGTAAAAGGATACCGATAGGCTGTGTTCAGGGAAAGCTGAGTACAGTTAAGCCCGTATGTGTTTAGGGGAGAAGGGAATTGTGTGCGGGGAATGCCTCTGGGGTGGAACATAAGTAGATGGTTGTTTCAGTGGTTTTGTAGATAAGTGTGGGTATGCAGTACATGTTTAAAAGGGTGGAAGTTTTGTGGCAGGTTGGCGCATAAATATGAATACCCAAAAACATTGAATATGTGTACCTATGAAGGCATACCCCATACCATAGTGATGAGTACTGGGGGAAAGGGGAGGGGAAATTGTGGCAGTAGATGGGGTATATGCACTGCATTTGCACAGAAAGGTTTATGGGTTCATGCATTTCCAGAAGTATTATGGGTTTGCGTATGTTCATGAATGGGTGAGCTTGCTTGTGTATACGTGGGTGGGTAGGTGGTATATGCAGGCTATATTATGTGTGTGCCATGAGGTTGGAGGTCACAGTGGGTGAATGCAAGCATGGCTTACAAGTATTTGTGGATATGTATGTGTGACTTTGTGAAGGGGAGAGATTTTGAAGTGGGTGTGGAAATTGTAGGTAGTGATGGTTGGATACCAGACCTCTCTTCTAGAGTGAAACTATTTGCCTCATATCACCCTTTAGGGCTACCTCTGTGCTAACAAGTGGTGATGTGTGGCTCTGAACTGTATTTTAAATCCTTTGGAGGGCGGATGGTACCATTCTTGTGGATTGAAGTGCTATTCCACTAGTTTTACAGCTCTATCTCATGGACAGCTAAAGCATAAATGCCATCCTGGGAAATAATACTACATTTGCAAGGTTGATATATTACCTGAAAAATATTGATGTTAAAAACAGTCTTGCAAACACACACATACTTTGGCTTATCTGAGTGCATAGTCCTACTGAAGCCAATGAGATTACTCGTGGAAGTAAAGTTATTCAGATTTGCATAGCTGGGTCCTGTGTTACAGCTGCATTATCTTACATGTCCCTGAGACTGTGTTTAGTCATAGGAGGCAATTGACAGAATATGACCTGTCAGTGGAAAATAATCAGTACTAACAACCATGTATTATAATTATGTTTTTCCTATTATAGAAATCTTTAATATCTTGGGGCACATTTTGTGTATGAAGCTAATATTTTTTACATTAAGTTGAAATATTTCCTGTGAAGCTTGATATATTCCTATGGCCATAAAATAGTTTACCAAAGGGATTCAATATGAGTGTTGTTGTCATGATGAATCCCAGAGAAAGGGGGGGTAGGGAAGTTTTGCACTGTTGAAATATTTTACTCTATTTTAAAAACCCAGAAATCCACAAGAATATTTTGCTACAGATAGAATATGCACTTTGTGTAATGTGGATTACATTTTTCTTGCACGTTTATCGCATTCCTGTGTAGCTGCTGTGCAAAACTGAAGATTGCAAACAAATACCACAGCATGGGTTGCCCTCCTTACACTGTAAATGAAGAGACAATGGAGAGCAGACTCAGTTCACTTCCTCTCATAAATTTACATCCATTGGTATTTTATAAAGTACTGACATACATTAAGAACGTGCAGGCATACAAAACATGAATTACCGCTCCAGTAAGTTGAATGGCGACATATAGATGTATCCTAATGGAAGCATTTGGTTTTCTGTTTTGGGTGACTCTGTAACAAACACCAGCTACCACCTTTTTTTGGAGACTAATTGCAACCTAGCTCTCAAACAGCTTTTTCTTTGTCTCCAGCGCACTCCGAGTGGGCAACCCCTCCTCCCCCGGCAAAGCCCCACCAGGGTCCCTTGGGTGAGCTATTCCTTTCCCTGATTATTATTTTCATTATTTGTAAGTGGGGTTTTATAGCAGGAGAGACGGCGCGCAGCACTCCCTGCATAAAATCCCTTTAACAAATAATCCATGAATGGGGGCAGGCCGTGTAATCCTTTGTTTCAGCCTGTTCTGGCTGGCTGTGTGGGCGTGCATGGGTGTGTGTGTGTGTGTGAGAGCCAGAGCCAGGGAGTGTGTGTGTGTGCATGCATGTGTGCGTGTGCCAGTGTGTGTGAGCCAGAATGAGTGTGTGTGAGCCAGAGTGTGTGTGCGCGCCAGAGCATGTATGTGGGAGCCAGAGCAAGTGTGTGTGTGTGTGTGTGTGTGTGTGTGTCTGAGAGACAGAGACAGAGAAGGCTCTGCCTGCACCAGAGCACGACAGTCTTAATTATATAACTTCACTTGCTCTTGTACCTCCCAAGGAGGGGAAATGGACGAGACAGGAGGACTGTCAACAACTGTCAGCCTCCCTCTTTCTTTCCCCATCGCGCCGCAGCCCTGCCCCAAGGCCCCAGGCAGCCGCAGGGGTTTCCCCCAGGTGTGAGGGAGGGGAAGGAGACTCTCCCAGAGGCCGGGCTGTGCTGGAACGGGACGCCCGCCTCGGGGTGATGCCCGCTGCCCGTGCGCGGGAGGGAGCGGTGCCAGCGGAGAGCGCCCCCGGGGCGCACACTGCCATGCCGCGCGGGGCGGGGCGGGGCGGGGCGGT